GGAAACCCCCGATGCTCGACGCAAAGATCGTACTAGCTGATTACATAATAAAACAGAAGGAAAGAGGGGCATTTAAAAAAATATATATAGAAGGTGGAAAAACAAAAAGGAAAAGAAAAACTAAAGAAGAGAAGGGGGAAAAGGGCACAAGGCAGGCCATTATAATTATAAACCAAAATAGATAGAAAATCATAACAAAAAAGATAAATATATCGAGAACAATCACTAACTTACTAGGAGTTATTATCAAATCTAATTATGTCCCCTGACTACCTAGATGAACCATACCCATCAAGGATAGGAATTTGTCAGAGTTTTTATACAGTTGCCAACTAGACCACATTCTGTTGTGTTTATCTAACCAACCCATGTCCTCAACCACAAGCTGTTCCATATACATTATGTCGTCCATTACACCAGCCCAGGATGACATTGTGGGATCGTAGGGGATTTCCAACATCTAGAAATACAGACTCTATTTCAACATATCTTGCTCTTCTGATGAGATAATAAGTAGAGTTGTTTCCTGTATATAATCCTCGCCAATAAAAGGTCAGGGGACATATCAGCATATTTGCCACGAATAGAATATAAGGAAGCGTAAAATGTCCAGAAGTGAATACTGCATTAGATCAGAATGGTCCTTAATGCATGATATATAGGATGCAGATGATCTCGGATGGATGGTCCTAGCCAACATCCATCTGCATTTATTGCCATGTAAATAGAAATATATGCGATATTTGTCCCTAGGAATAAGAGAATATTGATCAAGAATGGAACGGTTACTATTACGAATATCAGACAGGTCTCTGTAGTGTTCAAATTATTAAGACCCTGCAGACCACAAAGTTGTTGAAAGTGGTGTTTAAGTCTCTGCACCCTTTTTTTTTTCAAACGGGACCCATGTTTAATAAAACCCCCTTAGTACACATTTAGGGGCCTCCCATTGAATAGGGAGAGGGGTAGTTACATGTATCATCAGATAAAAATTATTAATAGTAGAAGACAATTCCTCCAGGCATGCACCGTCATGAAGCAAATTATCAATAACCTTCAAAATGCAGATGCCAGTAGAACCCGGTCCCAGGCATAGGGTGAGGGAAACCGGAGCATGATCTGACCATAATATTGAACCTATAGAGAGGTGAAAAGTCTAAGAGATTATGATGTCTCCATATATGGTCGATGCAGCTGTATGAATTGTGTACTGAAGAATAATGAGTGAAATCCCTATTAGTAGGATGAAGAATGCGTCAACAATCCGCCAGCCTCATCGCATACATTCCTGGAACACAACCTATGAGTTGAATCCCGAGAGAGAGAAGGCTTACCTGTAGAGTCCAACTCCGCATCAAAAATTTAATTCATATCTCCTACCACCAAAATCAAGCCAGCAGCAAACTGTTCAAATCAGCTGAGTGTTCAGACACACAATCTGTGCTGGCCCTGATTAGGGGAGTAAATAGTAGCAAGTGAGAACAAGGGATTGGCATAGGAGAATTTCAGAAATAGGGATTCTACCCTGATCATCAATTACTGGATCTACCACAGTTATAGAAGCATTCTTATGGATAGCAACAGAGACCCCCTTGGACTTAGTACCCAGGCTTGAACTATGAAACCACTTTGTGTAATACTTATTGGAGAATTGAGGAATATGACCAGTTTTAAAATGGGTCTACTATAAGCACAAAAGAACAACCCTTTGTTTATGAAAGTGATATCAAATTTGAGAACGTTTCTTGGGTAAGTTTAATCCTTCTTGCATTAAAGGTAACAAAAGTGAGCTTGCATGTCCAGGTACATAAAAAAGTAAAAATATTAGGGCCTGCCAGCTAAAGCCCATAAAAAGACAAAAGGAAAAAGAAGAAAAAGAAATTGAAAAGACAACAAAAAAGGATAGCAAGATGGGTAATAAAATTACATAAAGGAAAAAATAGAAGGAGACCACAGCACATACAAAAATTTAAATGCAAATAATAAAGTATCAAAAATCTTGTACAAATAAAAATAAGTGCAGACAGTACAAACAATAACCGTCTTCTTAAATGAGGACCACCCAAAGGAGAGAGTCACATAAGGTATATAAGGCAACTGTAAAACCGTTCAGGGGCGTCTATGTGTCCAAGCGAAGAGTATGTTACCCAACAAGCATCCGCCCTGGTATATAAAAATAATGACACGACGTGACGTCATTGCGCACGCGTGTGATGACTTCACGTGCTGTTACCTGCAGGCAGCCATCTTGGAGATGGACACCGGCAGAGCGAGGAGGGCATGTCCCCTCCTCTCTCCTGCAACTGTCGGGCTCTCGGTCCATTACCGAGTGCCTCACTTTTTAGAGGGGGGTGACATGATCCAAGCAATGCCAGATGGCTGGAAGGAGTTGTGTAGGAACGCTTCTCACTACATCATTAGCGAACAACGCCCCCCTCTGGGAAATGTGCCCCATGTATGTTGAGATGTACTGCAGCCCTGGCCTGCTTCTCATATGCACTACAATAACCAAAAGATGTACATCAGTATTATATTATGCAGGACCCTAAATAACGTTCTATTCATTAACTAGCTTCTAGGTAGCAGCACATGCCTTGTATTATAAGCTTTACATTACAGCGTGGACTATCTGTTAAAATTCCTTCCTTCCTTTGGTCAGTCTTCCGTGTTTCTTTTTTTCCTGTATAATCAGATCTTACTAGAAACCAGACATCACAATAAATGAGC